GGCTCGTTGGAAGTTGTGGATGCCCCGTGAGCCCTGCCGTTGGCTCGGCAAGCGCCTCTTGGTGAAGAGATACAGAGGGCATGCTTGAACAGGGCCCGGGTACGACGAGGGTGTGGTGGGTGTCGCATGCTGCAGGGGCGCCGCGGTCCCATGCGGCCGCGCCGGCCCGCCGGGCGCCCGCTCCCGCGCGACACGCCCCGCGAGCCGGCAGGAACGGGCGCCCACCGGGCTTGCGGCGCGCGCGCGCGCACTGCATCAGGTACAGGCGGGGCCGAGTTGGCAACCTGGTCAGGCGCGCGCCCCGCGCCGCGCCACCGCGCACGTCCCGCTCGGCGGCTGCCCGCCCGACCAGCTCCCCTACCCCCACCCAAAAAAACCAGCCCGCCACCCTCGAGCGCCCTTGCAAGCCGGCGGCCTAGCCCACGGTGTCCGAACCAGACCAAGACGCTAGGCACACCCGACACCAATCCCTTGCAGGACCCCTGCGCATCCGCCCTTGCGCCAAATCCTACGAAACCGCCTTGCGCGAAGTACTGCCGCGACAGGGGTGCTCCCCCGGCTGGCCGCCGCCCCCGTGCACAGAAACCGACGACAAAGCTGGGACAGTGCCTCGCGCGCGCGACTTCGCAACGCACGCTTCGCCCTGTGGAAGCGCCGGCCCCAAAACCGCCCGACGCTCCCTGCCCAAGCCGCCGCAAAAGCATCTGGCGGGGGCCCCTGAAACCCCCAAATCCCAAAGATCGAAGATCCGGCCCGCAACTCGGAAACCCCAAAACCCCGAAACCCCAGGGCCCGCCCACCCCTCGTTCTGGATCTCCACGTGGCGCTCCGCGTCGACGCCGCTGACGTCGCGGAAGAGATTCGCGAAGTCGATCAGCCAGTCGTCGATCTCCACCACCTCGCCGCCGGGGGTGGTCGCGACCTGGGGGGCGCCCGCCGCCGCCGCCGCGGCCGCGGCCGCGGCCTCTGCGGGCGGGCCGGGGGGAAGGGGGGAATTGCGCGGAGCGGATGCGCGCGTGTCAGCGGATAGGAAAGGGATGGGGGCCGACGGAAAAGAGCGCACGACTGATATAGGGATGGGCAATGCACGCGGCTGGGCGAGGACTGGAAGGTGCCCATGCAGTAGGACGGCGGCGAGGCGGAAAGACATCAACGGGATCAGATCGAACCGCAGGGCGCAGTCTGTGGTGAAGCGGCGGCGTCGCGGTCAGCAGCAGGCGCGAGGACGCGCGCGGCCGGGGGCGCAGCACCCACCGCGCTCCGCCGCCGCCTGCCGCCGCTGCAGGGCGATCTTGGCGGCAGCTGCCTCGTGGCTGCGGCGCAGGGCCTCGGCCTGCAGCGCCTCTTCTTGGGGCGGCCGCGGCACGTCGGCCTGCGACAGCAGATGTTATTTGCAATGAGCAGGGGGAGCGGGGGGTTGGGGCTCGCAACTCGGGGGATTTGGCTGTGCAGGCACAAGCAGTCCCTTGGGCAGCGCAAGCAGTCCCGCGAGCAGCGAATCGCGCGTCGTTGCAAACGGCATGAGGGACGCGCGGGCGCCGGAGGCCAGTGTGACCGGCAGGCGGCGGCGGCGCGTGCTGCAATGCCGAGCGGACTCCTTCGGGGCGCGCGCGCTCAAAGCACGGGCTGTGTAGCGGAGGAGAGGAGGGCGAGAGGGGGGGGGGGGCGTGTGGCGCGCACCTCTGCGCAGGGCACGAGCGCGAGCCTGAGGGGCGGCAGGATCGGCGGCACGCCGCCCTTGGGCTGCGCCGCCGACGCGACCAGATCCTGCACCGCCGCCCGCACGTCCACCCTGCAAGAAGTTGGGGGAAACGGCAAGGCGTGGTTGCGGCAACACAGCAAGCGGCCGCAGCCGAGCTCGGGGCCGTGCGCATGAGTGAGTGTGCAAATTCGCGCGTGTCCAATCGCAAACGCATGCGCGCGCGTGCGCGCACATTCACACCCGTGCCCTCTCGACTCGAAACCGCACACTCCGCAGCGTCTGCCGCCTGCCATCCCTCCCCCCAGCTGCCGCCAGCTGCCTCACGCTATTGCCATCTCAACGCTCCCCACCCCACGCAGCCGCTGCCAGCCAGGCACCGCCCGCCCACCTTGCCGCCGCTGCATCCCCCCCAAAAACCAAACGCCTCTCGCCCCCCTCCTATCTCACCTGGATGTGATGGTGATGCTGTCGCCCTCTTTATCAGTGTACTTCAGCTGGAAGGGCCCTGACAGCAGGGTTTGAAAAAAAGGCGGTCCTGATGATGCGAATCAAGCCGCGACAGCGCCACACCCATCCCGCCAGTGCCCGTCCGACCCCAAATAACACCCCCCCCCATTTTGCAGTGGACGCCGCCGGGCCAAACCGCCTCC